TTGGGGTTGCATTCAAGGGCCCCCCCTCTCATCTGATGGTTTAAGTTGTGCTGCCCAAACCTGCGCCAACACTTTTTTGATCTATTTATATTTCAACTATTTGGACACTGAACATGAAAGTTATTGCCAAATTCATAACTTAAGTACATATAACTAAAACATTAAGCATATGTATACTTCAAGAGCCTTTTTAAAGGGGAAAAAAGAAGAAGAAAGGAAGATAGTTTTTTGGAACAAAACAAAGTTTTTATTACAAAAAAATGATGGAAAGGAAAGACATTAAACGATTGTAGCTGCTATTCGTTTATTAATATCATCATTATTATCATTATTTTTGTTATGGTGGTAGTGGTGGTGGTCTGCTTGTAATGTCAATTTTGGCTGCATATGGGTGTTCCTCTAAATGGCTTGGAAGATGAAACTGTTTATAATTTTGAATGTTCTATATTCAGTGCCTATGATGACAGACTAGTCTTGCTGCAGGTTTATTTGGGCGAGCAATATGTAAACAGTGCTACGTTGTCGGATGTTACCTTTCTTGTTGAAGGTTGTTACTGTGTCTGCTTATACAAAGCTGCCATACTGTAGAAAAATGTTTTGTGGGGGACCTGATACATATTTTGTTTCCATGAAATACCTCTCAAAATGTGAATTGTTGTTTTCTTATACAGGTAAACGATTCCATGCTCACAGAATTTGCCTTCTTGCTTCTTCAGATGCATTCCGTGCAATGTTTGATGGTGGTTACCGGGTGAGTTTGTTTGTGCAGCATTGTAGTAGTCGGTGACCATCCTTATTCTTGTCTTAGAGATGCTTATGGGTCTTATCATTCACTGCTGGGCTTATTGGTGTGGGTTTTTGTTCAAGTTTTATTCTGATTGCAATGAGAGATGCACAGAGCTGCATTTGATAGTCTTTGGTTTTAAAACTGAAGCTAAATCCTTTATTTTTAATGATTCTGGAGTTCAGTCTCCAACTTCATTTACTTTTGTGAACTCAGACTTTGTCATGTTAATATTATAATTTGTTAAGTTATAAACCTGCTG